TGGGTCTCAATAGATTATATAATCTTGTTCTAATCACGTTTTGGAGGATATTGTATTCTTGTAATACATGTAAAGATATTGTGCTGTTTCCATTGCTGCATTGATATAATTTTCCAACAGCTGGGGGGTGTTTCACAAAGTCAAACTTAACTCTTAGTTGGACTTAAACATTATGGAGAGCCATTTGTAGCCTTAAAATAAAATATATTCAAAAGCAAAAAATCAAGTATTTTAGACTTTTCATACATTCCACGTCAAGAACATGACATCTCCTTGATAATAGAAAATATGAATGATTTGAATCAACATTTTATGCCTTTTAAAATAAGTTTTACAAAATATTTTCAGAGATGCTAACGGCTTTCCATAATTGGTTAGCTACAATCAAACTGGTCTTAGTGGCCACCTCTCTATAAAGGCCACCTGTCTACAGTGGCCCTGTATTGTGTATCCCTTGAGAAAGAAATGTTTATTGTAGAACCTGTCTAGAAAGGCCACCTGTCTAGAAAGGCCACCTGTCTAGAAAGGCCACCTGTCTATACAGTGGCCCTGTATTGTGTATCCCTTGAGAAAGAATGTTCATTGTAGAACCTGTCTAGAAAGGCACCTGTCTAGAAAGGCCACCTGTCTAGAAAGGCCACCTGTCTAGAAAGGCCATCTGTCTAGAAAGGCCACCTGTCTATACAGTGGCCACACTTTCTGTTCCCTTGGGTGACCATAATAGACAGGTTTGACCATATTGCCTCTAGTACATAGTAGGGTAATACACCACAGCATGCCACCCTGTTTCCACTTCTTTAAAATCTACTGTACATAAGAATTCCAAAGCATTGTGCGTGTACATTTTTTGAACTCTGTTACTATGTTTATAGTGTTGAAATCGTGCACTATTCACGGCAAAGCTCTGCCAACAACAGGCTAAATTACCCTTGACTGTAATGTAAATAGTGAGATTTAAAAAGAAGAGATTTGCTTCATTCGCTACGAATTTCCCTTTTAATTCTTTCTTTACCTATTCAGTAAAACTGACATCTTACTATGGCATCTGCTGAGTCATACAGGCAATGAATATTATCAGCTTGGAGCTGCAGGGGCATTCATTCATATGCTATTAACACAGAGTTTATGCCTTGTGACTCCAAACAAATGGTATATCCATGTACACAGAGTTAATGCCCTTATGAAATTTACACGTGATATCGTCAGTTTGGAGCCAGAAGGATGATAACTTATGTTTGTTAATACAGAGTTAAAGCTCTTCTGGCTGTAAACTGACGATAGATGGGTCAATGTAACAAAAAGAGCTCAGATTTAGACATACATGTAAGCAGTGGCTTGAAAACTGAAGGAGAGGGATTGATACCAGAGGGACCCGTCTTGTAAAATTAAAGTGTATTTACGCACAACATTCGGATGAACCGCATGAGTTGTAACCTAGATATTATGTACGTCAAAGGAATAAGGTTTGAGGGGAGAATAGACTGTGAACATGGTCTTGTAAAATTAAATTGTATTCAAGCACAACATTCGGATGAACCGCATGAGTTGTAACCTAGATATTATGTACGTCAAAGGAATAAGGTTTGAGGGGAGAATAGACTGTGAACATGGTCTTGTAAAATTAAATTGTATTCAAGCACAACATTCGGATGAACCGCATGAGTTGTAACCTAGATATTATGTACGTCAAAGGAATAAGGTTTGGGGGAGAATAGACTGTGAACATGGTCTTGTAAAATTAAATTGTATTCAAGCACAACATTTGGATGTACCGCATGAGTTGTAACCTAGATATTATGTACGTCAAAGGAATAAGGTTTGAGGGGAAATAGACTGTGAACATGGTCTTGTAAAATTAAATTGTATTCAAGCACAACATTTGGATGTACCGCATGAGTTGTAACCTAGATATTATGTACGTCAAAGGAATAAGGTTTGAGGGGAGAATAGACTGTGAACATGGTCTTGTAAAATTAAATTGTATTCAAGCACAACATTCGAATGTACCGCATGACTTGTGACCTAGTT